GGGGCCGCCGCGCACCCGCAGTGCCTGGACTTCAGGCCGCCCTTCCGGCCGCCGCAGCCGCTGCGCTTCTGCGAGCAGTACTCGGCCTTCGGCTGCTGCACGGCCGAGCAGGACGCGGCGCTGGCCCGCCGCTTCGGGGCCCTGGCCGCCCGCGTGGACGCCGGCCAGTGGGCTGAGTGCGCCGGCTACGCTCTCGATCTCCTGTGCCAGGTGAGCCGGCGCGCGGGGCGCGGGGCGGGCACCTGGCGCACGCGCGGGCCTCGTCGGGCTGGTCTCCCTTCTGGGAGGGGGCCGAGACGGGCTCTGACCACGTGGCCTGGAGTGGGGGTCCCCTGGCTTGGGCTTTGGGCCGGGCGCGCAGTTTGGTGCTGGCCTCAGTTTCCCCTCCTGAATCAGAAAGCATGTCAGATGATGCCACGAATCAGAGACTGGAGACTCTTCTGCCCCGAAACCCCTGGAGTCTGCTCCTCAGCGCCAGGTCTTTGTCGGGGTACCAGGTGGGAAGGCGCTGTCCTGGGGAGGCGGGGTGGCAGGCTGGGCCAAGGGCGAGGCCCCTGCACCACCATGGGCTCATGGTGAGAGAAGCCCCCCCCCCCAGTCCTTCCCTCCTGCTGGACTCCAACATGCTGGTCCTTAGACATCCACTGAGCCCACACACCCACTCTTGCTTCTGCTGCTGTGCCCGTTCCCTGGCCAGTGACCCCACCTTATGAGGTGGTCTTCTCACTCAAGGCCCAGTGACACCCTGTGGTCAAGCCTGTGCCCCATTTTTCTCTGAGAGGGGGATCCTCATTGCTGATAGAGGATTGTTTCTTAGCCATTTGGTGTCTTGCTAAGGTGGGGTCTGGTCCTGCGGTAAATGACCTGACCCCCTGGGTTGACAGTGCGTCTGAAACAAGATCTCTGGAAGCAGGACCTGAGGTGGAGGGTCCGGAAGAGTCAGCACAGGGCCTGGGCGTCAGGTGGCCCAGGGACAGAGGCATGGAGTAGGGGAAGCGCTGGAGCGAGTTGCACTAGGATTTGATCCTGGTGTCACCACTTTCTAAGGAACTTTGGCAAGGAGCCCTGGTAATGTGCTGTGCAGGGCTGGGCCGCTGACCGCCAGGTGGGAGTCAGATCCTCCAGCTGTTCCCCTCCCCGGAGGTGCTCAGTCTCCTCCTGTTACAGCCTCAGATACCGGATGGGGTGGTTGTTGTTATGTACCATTGAGCACATTCCGGCCCATAGCTGATTCTCCAGTGGGTTTTCAGAGGCAGTAAATCCACAGGAAACAGCCACCAGCAGGGAGGTCTGGTGCCCTAGTGGTAAGAAGCTGCAGTCCCAAAGGCACCCAGTTCAAATCCATCAGCTGCTCTGCAGGACGGGCAGTCTCTTCTGGTCCGATTCACAGCCTCTGACAATCTGCTGGAGGGTCAGCTATGGGTCAGTCCCCACAGGACAGTTGGGGCCCAGGTGGTGTTGAGTTTCTCCCACTGCGTTTCCTCAACTGCTCTCACCTCCCTTCAGGGAGAGTCCAGAAAGTGGGAGGGACTTAGAGGTGGGTCACGTAGCTCAGAGGTGGCCGAGGGGAGGACACGGGTCACACTCATTGCTGGTGGGAAGGAAGAGGGGCTGGGAGTGGGGAAAGGTGCCTTGTGGTGCAGCAGCTGAGTATCACATCAGCGGTTCAAACCCACCAGGCAGTGCTCAGGAGGGTGAGGCACACTGCATCTCCCACCGAAACCCTGTGGGCAGCCCCCCTCTGTTCTGTGGGGTCACTCGGAGTCAGAAGTGACTTCACAGCAGTGGATTTTGCTTTGGGGTGACAAACAAGTGAACAGCTATCAGGAAAAGTACAGCTATTGGGGTGCGACATCCTGGGTGGCCCCCAAGCATGATGCACACAGAAGCAGGCAGACGCAAAGGATCAGAAGCGCCTGATCCCAGTGACAGCGAGTTTCAGGGAGCCAGGGGTTGCGGGGGGAGGAGAGTCCCCGGGAGGTGGGGAGAGTCCCCAGAGTGGGTGGGGAGCCGGGGGAGGTACAGCCTCAGAGTCACCGAGTCTGCGAAGGGTGATGGAAAATTTTGGAAACAAATGTGATTGCACAATGTGATCAACGCAATTCATGCATTGAATCATACACATAGATGTTGAAACGGCAGATGTTTTTGTTAGGTATATTTTTGCAATTTTACAAAGGGCAAGTTGAGAATAGCTAGGAGAGGGGTCTTGGGATGCTCTTGGATGCACAGGGTACCTGGAAAGGTGGGAGCCTGCCTAGGGGAGGTCTCTGCTGATCCCCATGCTCTGTGAGGAGGGGTCAGAGTGACCTGGCCACCCTCCCTCCCCAGCCAGGCTCTCCTGAGACCAGGTCTCCTGACTCTCCCCCCACATTTGTTTACCGAGCACCAGGCTCTGCAGTGAGAGGCCAGATGGGAGGTCAGTCCTGAGCCAGGCCCTCACTGAGGCTCTGTCTGTCCTCTGAACCTCCCAGGACAGCCGGCCAGGGGCCAGCGCCTGGTTCTTGGAGTGACTTCACGTCTGGAGTGAGCTTGGGGAGGACAGCAGAGGTCGGACTGTGGTTTCCCTGGCAGGGCCCGGGGGAGGGCGAGGAGCGGCCAAGGAAGACACCACTGTGGCCAGCACCTCAGCTGCCCTGGACGCAGATCCCCGGATTTCCATCGGGTGGTGGCCGCATCCTATTTACGGGTTTCAGTCAATGACTGCGTTCACAGTTCCCTCCGGAGACAGACTCCAGACAAGGGATGTTGTCAACACATATCCCTACTGACAGCTGCTTTAGGAAGCTCATCTGACCCCACAGTCCTCTGAAGACCTCCCATCTCATGCCAGTCTTCTGAGGACCCTAATCTGCTACTCACTGTCCTCCAGGGATCCTCATCTGATGCCCATAGTCCATTTAGAGCCACCACAATTTTCCTAGGACCCCCCCTCATCTTACACCGTGGTCCTCCTGGAACCCCCCCCCATCAGACAGCACAGCCCTCCAGATGTCCAGGCTGCCCCTTGGCACAGAGGGCGGCGGTCCTTGCTGCCACCATCATGCTGACCCGGCCCTTGTGCACTGACGAGGCCGGTGCCATGTGGAGGAGGCCTCTGTGGTGCTTGGTGCCCAGGTTCCCGGTGTGTTGGTTAGCGCTGACCTCATGACCACACGTGGGAGTGCGCCTGTCCAAGAACCACATCACCACGTGTGCAGAGGACTTTCCAGAAGGTTCCCGGGAGTCCAGGGTCTGGCTTTGCCGGGTACTGTCCTGACCGCCAAAGGCCCCATTCAGCTTAGCAGACAGGCTTGCACTGGTGCTTATGAACGTGCAAAAGGGTCCCCAGGGGCCACAGAACACTGTGTGGGCACGGTCACCTGGTTCAAGTCAGGGCAGGCTTCCTGGAGGAGGGGTCCTGTGGGCATTCCTGAAAGCCCATGCTGTCTGAGTGTTAACTGTACAGACTCATGCGTGGTCTCAGGGTCTTCCAGTCATGCCTGGGGCTGGCTGCAAGGATGCAGGGATGGGGGTGTGGTGAGTGTGCCCAGGACACAGGGGAGTGTCCATTCTTTTAATCACTTTGCCACCTTTCCCTGCAAGTCCCCCCCACAGGTAGTCCAGCAGGCCCATGACTCAGTCTGAGCTCAGCAGGTCACGCAAGACGGGAGCAGATGTGAGCTCACACCACAGCATGGGATTGATTAGGGCTGGTGATAGGGCCTGTGTGGGAACGCCCACGAGGGCCCCAGGGGGCCGAGAATGGAGGAAGAGCGGGGCTTTGACTCGTGAACAGGAGTTTGTCAGAAGTGGGTGAGGCAGGACATCTGGCTGGAAGGACATCGTGTGCACACGGCCTTCCTGAGGGATGGTAGTGGACGGCGAAGGGCTGTGAGTCACAGGCACCCGTGGCTGCTGGGGACACCCCAGGCACACAGGTGGGCAGCAGCTGCGTTGCTTGGGGTTTTGGCCACCCCTCTGCTGACTGGTGGGAGGCCGCTGCCAGAAGAGACGCTGCACCCTCTGGTCATGCCCTGCTTCTGGGCAGCTCTGGCCGGTCCTGGGCTTGAACTGTGTGTGTGAGTGTGTCACAGGTCAGGGCCCGACCCTGGACTGGTGCGTGGGTGTTGACACCCGCAACCTGGCTCTGGGACCCCCCTTGCTCCCTCTGGAGGGGGCAGTCAGTCCCAGCCAAGGCTGGTGTCTGGCATCTGGGAGCACGTGTTGACTGAAATTCTCCTGACATCTCTAGAAAGAGCACTGGCCTGGCGCCAGGAGGCCCGGCCAGCCCGGCCCAGCCCCTTGTGGGTGTCCTCTAAGCCCTTGGCCATGTCTAGGAAGTAGGGGTCCTGACAGCTGGATTTTGCAGAGTTCAGAGGAGATGTGCATGCCCTTGGTCTCCCCTAGGCCGCCCTGGCTGCTGGGGAACCTTGGAGTGGAAGTGTGCACACGAGGACCTGGGCCCCAACGTCCGGCCCATCATCCCTGGTGGAGGATGTGCATGTGGTCCACCCTCCATGCGGTGTGGGGACAGTGACTGGCAGAGACCACAGCACGCAGGCACACTCAGGGGCCCTCGACCGGCCTGTTGGGACAGGACTTCCCCGCAGTGGTGAAGGGGCTGGAAACATGCTGTTGCTGTCACCCGAAGCCACAATCCTGTAATTGGAGAGTGGCCGCTGGCCCAGGGCCTGCAAACACAGGCTGAGTGGCAACCTGCCACCGCAGTCACTGCCTCCCCCACTGGTGCTGGCCGTGTGAGGCACGTCAGCTGTTAGCACCTCCCTATAGAGAGGCCTGAAGCAGGACTTTGTCCGGGGAGCTCAGAGCAGGTGGGTGTCAGATGTGGGTACACAGCAAGGCAGAGTGCAGGGGGAGACCTCTTACAGAGCTGTGCAGGGTACAGGGAGGAGAGCCTGGGAGCTATTCACTACCAAGTCAGAGGTTCAAATTCACCCAGAGAAGCCTGGGAAGTAACACCTGGCACTCTGGCCCAGAAAGGCCACAGCTGTGAAAGCGCACAGAGCTCAGCTCTCCTGTTACACGAGGGGTTGTTCTCCGCAGGATTGGCTCTAGGGAAGCGGGTCTGGGTTTTTGTGAGCTGGGGCCCAGAGAGGTGCCCAGGGTCCTACCAGGGCCTTGGGGGCAGATGGCTAGGAGGCAGCCTGACCCTGACCCCAGCCTGTCCGTTCTGTGGCTGTGACTCTGTGAGGTTCGTAGGATGTCCTCCTGCTCAAAGCCTTGACTCCCTTGTCTGTACAATGAGTGGTGGTAGATCTCCCGGCCAGCTGCTTGCGGGAGGAAGTGTGGGTCCTCGTGGACCCCCCGGTCCGGGTCCCTGATCTGCTGGGATCCGTTACTGCTGTAGCGGTCATGCCTGGGATTCTTCCAACCAGAGATGAGAAGGAGGGCGGGTCACACGTACAGGACGGAGGAGGGTCGGCCGCCATGCTAAGGGGAGCAGCACGTGCTAGGGCTCAGAGGTGCGAGGAGGTGGGACCAGATGGGGAGTTCTTGGGCCCTGAGGCTGAGGGGCAGCTCACCTGCTACTGGCTCCTCAGGGGTCATCACAGATTACATATTAGGCACATTTGACTAATGTCTACCTGTGGCCAGTTGTTGTTGTGTTGTTGGTTGCCGTCGAGTTGAGCTCGGCTCATAGTGACCCTATGAACATAAGTCCTGAGGCCTTTCTAGAACTATTGACATTTATCAAAGTTCTTGGAGTTTCCAGAGGCGTGTTGTTTAGGAAGCGGATACTTCTCCTGCTTCCGATATGGTCTGTCGTGTGCTGGAAATCGTCTTAAGCCAAAGCCACTGCTGTCGAATCAACTGACAGAGACTCAACAGGACAAAGCTGAAGGCCCCACAGGGCTGCTTCCCGAAGGTCTGAATCGTCACAGGAGTAAAGAGCTTCATCTTCCTCCAGCAACACGCTGGTGGATTTGAACTGCTCACCTTGACGTTAACAGCTGAGAGCTTTCACTGCTGTACCACCAGGGCTCCCGCAAATTGTCTTAGACTGCTGGGGACAGCAGTGAACAAGACTGGCAAGCGTCCTGCTCTCTGGGATTCTGTATTCTGAGACAGTCATTCAACAAGGGAACAGATTCGTTTCTCGTGGTTTACGGTCATGTCTGGGAACAATTGCAGGGATTTTTGACAGAATCAGAGGCCAACAGTAAGAGAGGAGGCGTAAGGAGTCCAGAAGAGTTTCTCTGAGGAAGGGGTCTTCGTGGGGAGGGTGAATGAAGTGAAGGAGTGGAAACTGAAGTAGGGGTGACATATACAGGAGGAATGTGTAGAAGAGCCTGCCCTCTGGGCGCTCGATGGGGCTCCGGGCTCTTAGTCGTCAGTCGCTTTGAGGCAGAACCAACCCAAAGCGGGTTCTCCAGCGAGTTTTCAAAGCCGGTAAGTTGCGCGGGAGGAAACTGCCCATCTTTGTACGAAGAGCAGCTGGTAGATTCAAACCACCTGCCTTTAAGTTGGCGGTGCAACTCTTTTTTTTTTAAATTTATTATTAATTTCAATGAAAATTTACAGAGACTTTGGATTTCCATTCAATCATTGTTGCACTTTTCTCCCTGCCCACCCCTCCCCCCAGTACACTCTTCTCTTTGAAAAGTAAAAGAAAAATTCTTTCATTGTTTTACAATCCCTCCACCCAGGTCCTCTCCACTATGCAGCCTTCATTCTGGACTCCTGTTGTGACAATAATACCTAATCACCTATCCCTTTTAAACAGTTTTCTCCCTCATCTGTTTCAATGCAGTATACATTCTTGAACCCATCTTTCTCAGTCTCCCCCCCAACCCCGATGTCAGTCCTGTTTTACAGCAGTGGCACCATGCAGTATTTGTCCTTTTGTGACTGAGATACTTCACTCAGCATAATGTCCTCCAGGGTCACCCATTTTGAATAATATTGCATGAGTTCCTTGTTTTTCAGTGCTGCGTAGTATTTCATTGTGTGAATATACCACAGCTTCTCTGTCCATTCGTTTGTTGATGGGCACTTAGGTTGTGAACAAAGCCGCGATAAACAAGGGTGTGCATATTGCAGTGCAGCTCTTCACCCTGTAGGCCCCCAGAGCTCCCCGTTCTTGGTATCCTTGTTGTTAGGGGCCCTGCAGGAGTCTGTGGCTCGCAGCGACCCTCTGAGCCCCACAGGTGAGCCCTGCCCTGGGCCATCCTCCCCACCTCTGACACGCACCGGCCTATTTACAGTCACCTTGTCGACCCGTCTCGTTGAAGGCCTTCTCTTTCCTGACCCTCCACCTTCCCCAGCGTGGTTTCCTTCTGCAGGGACTGTCCCCTCCTGACAACGTGCTGGGAGTACGTGAGCCAGAGCTTCACCCCCCGGCCTCTAGGCAGCACTGTGGTTGTGTTTAGTGACGGCAGCGATAAATCCCACACGCAGCTGCCGTCAAGGTGACCCCAGGCCTTGACGGACCTGTGAGCGTCGGAGCAGAACCACACTCATCGGGTTTTCAGATGGCGCTCGCCAGGCCTTTCTCCCAAGGCACCCCTGATTGGACTTGAACCTGCAGTCTTTTGGTCGCACCCCCAGAGGCTCTGTAGTAGTGAGGTTGGGCTTTTGTTCTCAGAGAAGCCTCAAAGCAAATGAAGAAGGCCCTTGGTCAGGTCTCTAGCGGCAGGGCTGCTACTGTCGTGGATGCTAACCAGGGTGACAGGCAGGTAGCAGGTAGAATGTTTTCCCCATTTTACGGATCAGCAGCCTGAGGTCCAGAGCGGTGAGGCCACGCTGAGGTGGCATCCCTGAGCCCCCTGTCTCCCTCTGCAGGAATGCTCGCCCTACGCAGCGCACCTGTACGACGCCGAGGACCCGTCCACGCCGCTGCGCTCGGTGCCCGGGCTGTGTGAGGACTACTGCCTGGACATGTGGCAGACGTGCCGCGGCCTGTTCCGCCACCTCTCCGCCGACCGCGAGCTCTGGGCGCTGGAGGGCAACCGCGCCAAGTTCTGCCGCTACCTGGCCCTGGACGACGCCGACTACTGCTTCCCACGCCTGCTGGTCAACGAGAACCTCAACTCCAACCTGGGCCGGGTGGTGGCTGACGCCAAGGGCTGCCTGCAGCTCTGCCTGGAGGAGGTGGCCAACGGGCTGCGCAACCCCGTGGCCATGGTCCACGCGCGCGACGGCAGCCACCGCTTCTTCGTGGCCGAGCAGGTGGGGCTGGTGTGGGCTTACCTGCCGGGCCGCGCCCGTCTCGAGAGACCCTTCCTGAACATCAGCCGGGCGGTGCTCACCTCGCCCTGGGAGGGCGACGAGCGGGGCTTCCTGGGCCTGGCCTTCCACCCGCGCTTCCGCCACAACGGCAGGCTCTACGTGTACTACTCCGTGGGCGTGGGCTTCGAGGAGTGGATCCGCATCAGTGAATTCAGACTCGCCGAGGACGACGTGAACTCCGTGGACCACGGCTCTGAGAGGTGGCATCCCTGGGGAGGCGGGGGCGGGGGGCAGCCTGCGCCTGGGGCCACCCAAGTGTCACCTCGTCACCCCCCGTGCTGAACCTCATGATCACCAGACTCAGTACCCTCGAGTCAGTTCTGACCTTCTGTGACCCAGCAGGATGGGTCTCAGCCCACAGCGTTTCCAGGGCTCTACCTCTGTGTGAGGGATCCCCCTGGTGACCTCGTGGGACAAAGAGGGGCACTGCCAACTCAAAGGCAGGCTGTTCGAACCCACCAGCTGCTCCACTTTCTTCCTGTGAGATGTACCCTGAAAACCCGCTGGAGGCTCAGCTGTGAGTCAGTTCTGACTCCACGGTACCCACCACCACCAGCACACAACGCTTTACGGATGCAGGCGGCCCCACCTGCCTCCTGCCAAGTGGCTGGTGGGTTACAGCTGCCAACCTTTCCACCTCTACAGGGTGCTTTCACGGCGGTGCCACCAGTCCTCCTTGGGACACAGTAAAAACCCAAACAAAACTGCTGCCATCAGCTTGGTCCTGGCCCATAGTGACCCCAGAGGACAGAGCAGGACGGCCCCAGAGGGTTTCCGCAGCGGACAGTCTTAACAGAGCAGACTGCCTCATCCGCTGCTCAGTGCTTGACCTGCTGGGCCACCATAGCTCAGTTAGACGGAGGACAGGGTCACAGGGTCGAGTCCCGATGCCTGGACCTGGCCTTCAAGGCCCAACATTTCTCCATCAGTTGGGGGCCACCTGCATTCGTCTAGATTTCCTAGTTGAGTGTCTGCTGAGGTGGTTTCTGTTCAAGCTGGTGCTCATGGCCCTGACACAGTCGTTTGCAGGAAGGCACGGGCCAGCAGGAAGCAGGAGCTGCCCTCGTGCCCAGCTGTGGCTGAATGCAGAGATGCTGGGCTTCAGCTCTTGACTGGCGGCAAATGCTATTTTTTCCTCCCCTGCTTTCTGCACATGATGTCGTGGTCCCCAGACGTAGCTGATGCGCGGAGGAGGTGTGAGATGCCTCACAGAGAAGCGGGGCATGCTGGGTCAGCTTCACTTGGCACCAGTGAAAGTGCTGTTGCCTGTGAATTCAATGTTAGTGACTCAGTGATGTCATGGAATAGCAGCTTTAAACAGAAACCACGCAAAGCCAGGCTACGTGTTGATCACCCGATGGAAATGAGACCAGAGGCTGTAAGGAACCCTGGTGCCCCCAGAACTCTAAGGATGTCCCCGCAGCAGGACGCGGCTGCTGTGACGTGCCATGGAGTGACCCCTGTGTGCAGCAGGGTGGACCCCTGCCCCTGCCAACCTCACAACCTCTGCTTTGTGTGAGCGCATTGTTAGAGCGACTGTCAAACCCTCTCACTGAGGGTCTTCCTCTCTTCACGACGTGACAACTCGGTACCGTTGTTGTTGTTGTTATGTGCCGTCAAGTTGCTTGCGGCTCACAGCCACCCTGTGTACAACAGCCCTAAAGCCTGCTCCATCCTGCCAATCTTAATGCATAGTGGGTGTCCAGTGTCTGAGGCTGTGAGTGTTACAGGAGGGACTGTCCATCTTTCTCTTGAAGAGTTGCTGGGGGATTGTAACTGCTGGAGACCAGAAGCACCCAGCACATCATCGCCAGAGTTCCTGCAGTGCAACTGGCTATTTTTATGAATTCAATGTCAAGGTGACTTTACAGAATGTGTTGTTGGTTGCGGGAGAGCATCAGGTAGATGCTGACTCATAGCAACCCCGTGTGACAGAGGAGAACGGCTCCATTGGGTTTGTAATCTTTACAGAGAGGAGCCCTAGTGATGCAGTGTTAAAGTACTTGATTGGCAAGCAAAAAGTCAGCAGTTCAAACCCAAGCCCAGTTGCTCTGTGAGAGAAAGAGGTGGGGTTTGAATATTTAAGGGAACAGGATACCAGGTCTTCTCTCCCACGGAGTCACTGGTGGGTTCAAATCTCTGGTCTTCCCATAATCTACTTGGCCAAGGCACCACCAGGCTCCTTAGGTAATTCAATCTGTGGGGTTTAATACTGGGAATTCCTAGTGGTAAGAAGCTGCGCTGCAACCCCCAAAGCACGTGGTTCAAATCCATTGGCTGCTGCACAGGAGAAGGATGGCAGTCTCCTCCCGTTAGATTTAGTGCCTCTGAAAACCTGCTGGAGAGTCAGCTATGCGTCGGTTTCGACTCGACAGCCCTCAACAACAGGCATATAACAGCACAGCACACATTTGACAAAACGAAAATCAACCCTGAAAGCACGGAAAGGAGAAAGAGATACCCTTGCTGTCACGGCTAACGTGGATCTCATTCTGCAGTATTAGTTCTGAGCTTCCTGGCAGCCAGAGCAAAAAGAGAAAGCTTGATTCTCATGCTCTTACAAGTGACTGTTATACCAGGCCAAGGAGCTCCGCTGTTGTATTGCTCAGGGAGTCGCATTGCCACCCCAAAAGCTGCACCTCTCTTATGTTTTGAATCCTCCAGTAGTTTTTTTTTTCTATATTTTATTAATTTTCATAAACATTTACAGAGATTTTGGGTTTCCATTCATTCCTTGTTGCACTATTCTCTCTACCCTCCTCCCAGTTTGTTCTTGTCCAAATGCCACAGTGCTTGTCAAAGCCAGTTCTGATTAATCTTCTTTGTCAGTGTGTCCTTTGCCATTCCCTATCACTCCTCCATGAGAGAGACTTCACCCTGAGTCATAAGGAAAAGGGGATGGCGTATTCTCTTAGCTACTTCCTGCTGAAAAGGGACGCTGTGGGTTTCAGGGTGAAGATCTTCTCTCACTACTCTAGAGGGCCCCTTTGGCAGTAGGAAACACATAGACTATTATGGAGATTGATTTTGGAATTTAGATGCACTCTTATTGATTGTGCTTGGCTGTACATGTTCATATCCTTGAAGATGTATCATGGGGGTGTTGCAACCTAGAAGGCACAAATTTGACTAACAAGTTATAAGTACATGAGTCCAAAAATTATGGAAAAGTAAAAGAAAAGATTCTTTCATTGTTTTACAAACCCTCCCCCAGGTCCCCTCCACCATGTAGCCCTCGCTCTAGTCTCCTGTGATGACAGAAATACCTAGTTATATATCTCTTTTAAACAGTTTTCTCCCTCCTCTGTTTCAGTGCAGTATACATTATTGAACCCATCTTACTCAGTCTCTCCCCAACAGTGGCATCATGTAATATTTGTCCTTTTGTGACTGGGATATTTCACTCAGCATAATGTTCTCCAGAGTCAACCATTTTGAATAATATTGCATGAGTTCCTTGTTTTTTAATGCAGCATAGTATTCCATTGTGCGAATATACCACAGCTTCTCTAGCCATTCGTTTGTTGATGGGCACTTAGGTTGTTTCCAACTCCTTGCTATTGTGAACAAAGCTGCAATAAACATGGGTGTGCATATATCTGCTTGGATGTCAGCTATGGTCTCTTCAGGGTATATTCCCAGCCTCCAGTAGTTCTGAGGAAGAAAAATGGGCAGTTTTCTCCTATACAATTTACAGTCTCAGACCTACTGGTGGGTCAGCTATGAGTCGATCCCAACTTGATGGCAGTAAACAAAACAGCTATCCAGCCCTTCCGGGGATGGGGGTGGGGCACAGAGCAGCATTTCTCTTACTTGTGAATGGGGCCAGCATAGACAGTCCCATCCAATGGCAGCGAATAACAATGATGTCTTCTTTTAGGATAATCCTGGAAATTGAAGAGCCGGCCTCTAACCACAACGGGGGACAGCTGCTCTTTGGGGACGATGGCTACCTCTACATCTTTACCGGGGACGGCGGGATGGCTGGAGACCCCTTTGGAAAGTTTGGGAATGCCCAAAACAAGTATGTTCTGCTTTGATGGGTCAGTGGGTTGGTTGATGACAAGCGGACCTCAGAGATAACACAGACTTGGCTCCAGACGTCTGAAATAAAGTAGATATCATACCAAAGTGAGCCTAATCCTAGGGTACAAAAACGTTCTGTTCGCTGTAAATGGTGGTCCATTGGAGGGTCTCTGGTGGCGTGTCACGGAAGGTGTCAGGCTGCTAATCAAGAGGTCAGCAGTTCAGATCCACAGGCTGCTCCGTGGGAGAAAGATGGTTAATGTCCTTCCATAAAGATTCACAGCCTATAGAAAGCAACCGATGGTCATTACTCAGAGATTCTGTGGTGATGAGTTTGAGAGAGTGGTCGACTAGGTGTGCAGTGGCATCAGGAGAAAGTACCAAGATGTGGCACAGAGAGAAGGGTACATGTGATGCTGGGAAAATGCCACTGATAGACTTCCTCGTGAGTGTTGCCACACATCTTCAATCTGCAATAAATAGAACATGTTTTTATAGTTGTGCAAAGCAAGGGTGCAGCAAATGGGGGCACAGCAAAGAGAGGGAGTAGCAGCAAAGCAAGTGAGACCTGTCTGTGTGCCCAGCTTCTCTTTTCATTCTGGAAGGAGGAATTACTTCCCCAACGGAGCAGATTAAACCCCAGCCAAACCTAGCCCAGCCCAACCCCAACCGTAAACCCAGCCAAAGCCAAACTCAATCCAGACCCAACCCAACCTAAATCCACCCCAACCCCCACTTGCACTCCCACCATAAATTCAGCCCAACTCTAACTCAACCCAACCCAACTCACCCCAACCCTAAACACAGCCCAACTCCAACCCCAACCCAACCCAACCGAAACATAACCCAACCCCAAACCCAACCCTAAACACAGCCCAACTCCAAACCCAACCCAACCTAACCCAACTCAACCCAACCCAAACCAACCCCAAACCCAACCCCAACCCTAAGCCCAGCCCAACTCCATCTCAACTCCAACACAACCTAACCCAACCCAAAATCAACACAACCCCAACCCTAAACACAGCCCATTTCCAACCCCAACCCTAAGCCCAGCCCAACTCCAATCCCAACCCAACCCAAACTCAACCCTACCCAATCCAACCCCAACCCCAGCCCCAACCCTAAACCCAGCCCAACTCCAACCCCAACCCAACCCAAACTCAAACCTACCCAATCCAACCCCAAACCCAACCTTAAACACAACCCAACTCCAATCCTAAACACAGTCCAACTCCAACTCCAACACAAACTAAACCCAACCTCAACCCTAAACACAGCCCAACTCCAACCCCAACCCAAACTCAAATGAAACCATACCTGCAGCTTTGAGTACCGTCCCACTCATGGTGGACTCTCCATTAGGTTCCCAAGGCTGTAAATCCTCACAGGAGGAGACAGCATACCTTTGACTCCATGAACATCGATAGATTAAAACTGCAGACCTTCCAGCTGTCACCATGACACACAACACACTAGACCAGCAGGGGTTGTAAAGCAGCACAGGGCAGGAGAAAGGGCTTTGGAGTGTGGTAGTGGCTCAGCTGCTGAGACCGCAGGCAGGGGGCTCCTTCCCACCAGTTGGAGAGGAGTAAGGAGTCACACTCCCCGTGGACCATGACTTGAGACATGAAGGCTATCCTGTGTGACAGGCAGTGAGCCACACAGCTCTGGCCACCAGAGGAGAGGTGGGCTTTGCTCAGAAGACCAGCCAGCATGTTGGGGTTGGAGGAGGGGAAGGGCTTCTCCCAGAATGCAGAGGGACCTGGTCCACGGGGCTCTTGGGTTCTCTGTCACCTGAGATGACAGACAGGGACACACTTTAGTATATGTGTAGTACATGCACATGCTCAAACACACATAGTCCCGTGGGTGCAGACAGAGACAGTAGGCATGTCAGAGCAACCAACTCTGTTCCCTCAGCCCTCAACTAGGGAAGTAAAAATAGCGAGGATGACGCTGATGGTGGTAATTACCAGACTCCCAGCTTGCAGCTTTTGGGTTCACATGGGGCCGTGTTAAGAGTCAGCCTCACTTTCTTGGGCTTAGAATATGTTTAAAGATAAAGTTGAGAAAAATAGAACTTAAAGATTTTCAGATGAGTGGACAGAACTAATGTTGGCACAATTTGGCCACCAAGGAGTGGATCACGTCGTAGTAAAGTCAGGTGTGTGGTGACCTGGGAAGTGTGGCCATGGTCGGGCAGGAGTGTGCTGTGGCCAGTGCCGTGCCCAGCCGTAGAGGAATGAAGATGAGCTGTTGAGAAGGAATGCTGGGAAGTGTCTTCAGTGATGGGAACTGGGGACCAGGGCTGGGTGAGGGTGCCGAGGTGCACAGGTGCAGCAGGTGCCCAGACACACCAGCCTTGCCTTGACCAACAGCCAAAAAAAAAAAAACCTGAATACCCCTTGCTTTTCCAAAGTTCACTTTACCCCAGCATTAGCTTCTGTTTTGGCTCACTGAAAGATCCAAAGAGGATTTTCACTTCTACCCAAAAAAAAAAGATGAAAAGAGAAACTAGTGTCCAGGGTAATTTTGAGGTGAAGAAAGATGCAGCACATGCCCCAGCAGTGAGAGTAGTGCCACCAGGCCCCCTGTTCCCTGGGGACTACCCTCAGCATCTCAGCTTCCAGCTGTGAGCTTTGAGCTGTGCCTGTGGGCACTGTACCCAAGCCCACTACTGTCCAGTCAATTCTGACTCCTAGCTCTCCTGGAGACAAGCCCTGTGGGTTTCCCAGGCTGTCGGTCTTCACAGAAGCAGACAGGCTCCTCTTTCTGCTGAAGAGTGACTTGTGGGTTCCAAGAGCCCACTTTTCAGTTAACAGCCAAATGTTTCACTACTGTGCCACCGGGGTCCTGCAAGTGTGATAGGTTAGTGTTATTTTAGGCTCTGCGTGTTATTTGTTATGTGATTTTTTTGAGCCTGGGAATGTTTAACAATTTCCCGTATAAATGAATGGTAACTGCGACTTTAAAGCTGAGAAACTAGAGAACAAATTCAAGCCTCAAGTTGCAATACTTAAGGATGCTATGGGCAGAATTTTGAGTGATCTACAAAGCATTAAAAGAAGATAGAAAAAATATACAGTCACCGTACCAAAAAGAATTGGCTGACACAGAACAATTTCAAGAAACAAAATAAGAAAAAGAGGGAATGGTGATGAAGGAGGAAGTTCAGGCTGCTCTGAAGGACTTGGCTATTTTTTGCCAAAGCCCCTGGAATTGATGGAATTCCAGTTGACTTATTTCAACAAACAGATGCTGCCCTGGACATGCTCACCAGGTTGTGCCAAGAAATCTGGAGGACAAGTACCTGGCCAACTGACTGGAAGAGATCCATATTTATTCCCATTCCAAAAAAAGGTGACCCAAGATAGTATGGAAATTATTGTAAAATGTCACTCATAATGCACTCAAGCAAAACCCTGCTGAAGATTGCCTAGAAATGACTGGAACAGTACATTGACGGAGAACTACCAGAAACACAAACTGGGTTTGGAAGAGGTGGTGGCACTGGAGACATTATTGCCAATGTCAGATGCATCTTGGCAGGAGGCAAAGAGTACCAGAGGGATATCTATTTGTGTTTCATTGACTGTGCAAAAGCATTTGACTGTGTGGACAACAACAAACTGTGTTTAAACTTGAGAAGAATTAGAATCCCAGAACACTTGATGGTGCTTCTGTGAAACCTATATTTCGACCAGAAAGCAGTGCTCAGAACAGAGCGGGGAAATACTGCATGGTTCAAAATTAGGAAGGTAGTAAGTCGGGATGCAGCTTGTCTCATACTTTTTATTTTTTAAAAAAATTTTAAATTTTATACTGGCTTACTTGCAAAGTTCATAAAGTTCTCCACACCTTTTCAGTCTATGTGCAGAACAGATCATTCGGGAGGCTGGCCTTGATGAGCAGGAGTGTGACATTAGGTTTGGAGGAAGACTCATCAACAACCGACGTTATGCAGATGACACAATCTTGCTGAAACTGAGGAGGACTTGAAGCACTTGCCCCAGGTCAAGGACTGTAGTCTTCAATATGGATTGAAGCTCAATATCAGAAGACAAAGATTCTCACCACTGGGCCAATTGGCAGCACCATATTAGATGGAGAAGAGATTGAGGTTGTTAACAGTTACAGCTTGCTCAGCTCTACAATCAAAACTTTTGACACCAGCCGTCAAGAAATGAAAAGATTAATTGTATTAGGTAAATCTGCTTTCAGGCACCTTTCCAGAGTACTGAGAAGCAATGATGTCAGACTAGAGACTAAAATGTGCTTAATCCTGGCCATGGTCTTCACAAGTACTTGCTATGCATCAGAGAGCTTGATAATGACTAAGGATGACAAAATAACTGATGCCTCTGAGTCGTGGTGCTGGAGAAGAGTCTTGAACATACTATCGATCACCAAGAAGACAAATAGATCTGTCTCGGAGAGGGTGAAACCAAGTTTCTTCTTGGAGGCTAGGAGTTTGAAGCTCTGTCTCACATACTTTGGGCATGTGGCCAGGAAGGACCGATTCCCGGAGAAGGACATCATGCTCGGAAGTGTGGAGGGGCAGCACGGGAGAGGAAGACCCCTGAGGAGATGGATTGATACAGTAACTGGGCCATGGGGATAGGTAAGTCACTGAGACTGGCTCAGGACAGGGCAGGCTTCACAGCTGTTGTATGTAGGAGGAGGTACTTGTAGGTGACTCAGTGACACATAACAACAACAATAACAACTGCTGTTTACTCACTTTACACCGCTGCTTTACGAAAGGTTTCACAGAACACTCTACTCTCAGATAAAGATCACAACAAAATGGTAACAATAAAGGAACTATGGAGTAGGTAGAAGCATCGGAGCACAGGTCGTAGACTGTAGCATGCTGTCATGCTGTCTTCAAGCACTTCTTTTTCTGGTCATGTGGCGAATGAAACCCGGAAGGTCCTTGGCCCCAGCTGGGAGGATGGTAGAGCCTCACTCTGGCCCCTGCTGCCCGGGCCGAGGACCTGCCTCTGGTCTCCTCTCACTCCACACGGCCTGGTCCAGGGCTGCCCGACCTGCCTGCTGGGGGTCCTGACAAGTCATCTCCCTAAACCTTGCTTGGTGTGTCACCCCTCTCTCAGCCCAGGGTCTGCACACTGTGCTGTGCACTAGGCTTTTATTACAACCATTGGTTGAGTCACTTAGGGAGCACCTACTGTATACTGGCCCCTGTGAGGGGCATTCTCCAGTGGAATGGTCAGCATGTGGTCCAGCCCTGTAGGCAGGCAGAGTTGAGTGGTCCACTCGGATTTTACAGTTCAGTGTCATGTACAGGAAAGGCAGATGAAGTAGCTTGAGATTCTGAGGTCTGCCTGTCTGGACTGCATCCACTTACAGCTAGGCGGTTATTCAGCCTTGCTGAGCTCAGTTAACTCACCTGTGAAATGGGACCATAATAGAACCCATGTTTTGTTGTTGTGTGGTGTTTTTTTTTTTTTTCTTTGTTGTGTGGTGTTGAGTCAGTTCCCAACAATAGCGACTCTAGAGGAACGAGGAGAGCTGTTCCATAGAGTTTCTAAGGATGCAGTAATTTTATTTTTCTAATGGTTGAGTCATCTGTGACTCGACAGCACCTAACTACAATAGCAATGACAACAGAGAGAGAGAGCTACGTTGCCCTAGTGGACAGAAAGTTATGCTACCAAGCCCAAGGTGGGTGATTTTAATCTGCGACCCTCAGGCCTGGTTCAAATTGGTTTTTGTCAAACCTTCTTCTAGGTGGTCTAGCACTGGTCTGTGCATTGCTGTACAGAGGTAACTCGTGTTCGCTGTGAAGCTGAACACTCTGATACTGATGTGTCAAATGCGATAATGGTCACCCACGGTGGACAGTGTTTGGTGGAGCTCCCCGATTAAAACAAGCTTGGAAGCAGGAGTGTCATCCACTTCCGAAATGGCTTGCCTCCGGAAACTCTATGAACAGTGCTCAGGTCTTTGGTTCATAGGGTCGCTATGAGTTGTCTCGACGGCACCTAATAACAATGACAACAACATTCCTTGGAGAGGGACATGATGTTGTGAAGGTTCGAGGTCAGTGAAAGAGATGGAGACTGTCAACCAGGTAGATTGACTTGGTGACTGCTGCAGTGGGCTCTTGTGTGTCAGGAAGTGTGAGAATGGCACAGGACAGGACTAGGTTCAGATCTTTTGTTCATAGGGTCATTCTGAGTCATACTTGACTCGATGGCACACAACAACAACAACGACGATGACGAAGGATGTGATCTTTGTAGTAGCAGAACGCCGGAGCTTGACGCGGCTGATCTAAAGCCTGTGTCTTGTCTGTTGCCCACAGGTCATCCCTGCTGGGCAAGGTGCTGCGTATCAACGTGGACCACACGGAGCGTGGCACGCCCTACCGCATCCCACCTGACAACCCGTTCGCTAGTGACCCGTCCGCTCGGCCTGAGGTCTATGCACTGGGCGTCCGCAACATGTGGCGCTGCTCCTTCGACCGTGGGGACCCCGCAACGGGTGCAGGCCGTGGGCGTCTCTTCTGTGGTGACGTGGGCCAGAACAAGTTCGAGGAGGTGGACCTGGTGGAGCGCGGCCGCAATTACGGCTGGCGCGCCCGCGAAGGCTTCGAGTGCTACGATCACAAGCTGTGTGCCAACTCCTCCCTCGGTGACCGCACAGCCCACGCCCCTACCAGGGTGCCCAGTCCTGAGTCCTTTCCCCCCTGTGGGCTGTGTGCCAACTCCTCCCTCAGTGACCCCGTGCCCCACACCCCTACTAGGACACCCAGTCCTGGGGTACTTTCCCCCCTGGGGGCTGTGTGCCTTCACCTTCCTTGGTGACCGTGTGCCCCACACCCCTACCAGGGTGTCCAGTCCTGGGACCTTTCCCACCCTGTGGGCTGTGGGCCCGCACCTCCCTCGGTGAATGGTCACCCTGGGTCCCTCCTCTGGTTCCCCCTTCCCAGGCCCAAATTAACCCCACGTGTTGTGCTCCAGCACTTGCCTGGGTGACCACTGTGCCCTGCATCCCTCCCTGAGAACCCCTGGTCTGAGATACCCTCACCAGCTGTGAGCCAGCCATCTCTCATTGACCCTGACCCAGGTTGGGCCCTCCGTGCCCCCAGGATTCCTTAGTGGTGCTTCACGGTCCAGCTGGGGGACCTGCTTTATAGAACTCCCCCACCATGCTGTGATCACCCCCAGGCCTGCATCTTCTAGACAATAACTCATTGCAACCCCATGACGGTCCCCCTCAGGCCCTCCCCATCCACACCCCATTGTGCCCACTAAGCCCACACCTTCACCTTGACCTTGGCTTCTTCCTCCACAGATGATGTGCTGCCCATCTTCGCCTACCCACACAAGATGGGCAAGTCAGTCACTGGGGGTTACGTGTACCGGGGCTGCGAGTACCCCAACCTTAATGGCCTCTACATCTTTGGGGACTTCATGAGTGGGTGAGTGGAGCCCAGTGGTGTCAGCCTGCAACCCAGAGCATCCGTCTGGGTCTGGGCTCCGAGGGGCTGTTGTAGTAAGTGGAGTGTGTGTGCGTGCATGCGTGTGTGTACACATGTGGATGTATGCATAGATGGCTGTTCTCCAGGTGTGGCTGGGCAGGTGTGGCCCTTACGGAGGCCTCACGAGTCATATCAGCAAACTCCTGGCCCTCCCCATCTCCTGGATGCCTTCCCGGCCCGTTCTCACTGCCCAGAACATGGATGATGGCATAATGCAGTGAAGACTGGGACTTGTTGAAAGTGGATCCCTCTGGCCCTCCTCCCCTCTCCCTGAGCTGTGGACTTTGGGCCTAGAGGGCAGGAGTTGGAGAGGGGGGAACCTGAGCCTTTCCTTGGTAGACCCAGTCCTGGCGAGTCACGACCTGTCCCTGAGCCAAATGATTGGAACCTCGAGTCCTGCCCATTCCCGGCTCCCACTGGCATCAGGACCACAGAGAGCCCTGGTCCAAGGCCTCCATGTCCTGGCCAGGAAACTAATGCAGGAAGGGAATGGCTGCCAAGGGCATCCTGCCAGGAAGGGCACCCTGCTGGCTGCACTGGGCCTCACCTGGTCACTGGGGTCCTAAGGGCCTTTCTGTCTGATCCCCTTGGTTTGGCAGCACTGCGCTGCCTGACCCTAGAGGGTTCAGTGGACATCAGTGTGGGTGGTCAAATGAGTCACCCCCGCTGTCCGAAGGCTCCGCACTTGAGTTAACGCTCTGCTGTCATTGTGATGTAATTAGCTTTGAGTGAGGGGCCCTACATGTTCATTTTGCAGTGAACCTGCAAATTATGTGTGCAGGGTCTCATTGAAAGGTTGAGTATATATGTGGAGGGACGGATGGGTGGGTGAGTGAGTGGACAGATGGATGAGTAATGGGTGGATGAATGGATGGGTACATGGATAACATAGGTGGATGAATGAGTGAGTGGGTGGATACATGGATGACATAGGTGGATGAACGGATGGGTGGGTGAGTGGAGGATTGATGACTGGGTGGAGGGACAGATGAGTGGGTGGGTGGATAGATGAGTCGGTGGATGGATAGTAGATAGATGAGTCGGTGGGTGGATGGATATATGAGTGCGTGGATGGATAGACGAGCGGGTGGATGGATAGACGAGCGGGTGGGTAGGTGGGTGGATGAGTAGGTAGATGAGTAAGATAGATGAATTGGTGAGAAAATGAGTAGATGGATAGATGGACGAATGATGAGTGTGTGGCAAGAGGGTGGATGAATGTATGCATGGATGGACAGGTGAGTGAATAGTTGACTGGGTGGATGGATGGATGGATGGATGAGTGAGTGGACAGACAGATGGAGGGATGTCTGGGTAGGTGGGTAGATGGCTGGGTTGGTGAATACATAGATAAATGGATGGAGGGGTGGGTGGGTGGGTGGTGTTCCTGTGGACACCATCTCCACCGTTCATCCTCCTTTGCAGGCGTCTCATGTCCCTCCGAGAGAAGCCAGGCACAGGCCAGTGGAGTTACAGTGAGGTCTGCATGGGCCGTGGGCAGACGTGCGCCTTCCCTGGCCTCATCAACAACTACTATCCACACATCATCTCCTTCGCAGAGGATGAGGCTGGTGAGTGCTCCAAGGCCCCCTGCAGGTGGCTGCCCTGCTCAAGGCCTGGCCTGGAGCCCTGTTGCTCCTGTCCTGTAACTTGAGGGGTGGGGCCTCAGGCCTGACCATCCCCTCTGAGGACGGAGAGGTCCGTAGGTCAGTTCTTACCCAGCCACCTTCCTTCAAGTGTGTTCCTGGGCCAGGTCTCACCTCTCTGAACCTCTCCTCACCTGGAAAATGATGGTTGTGGTCCCTGCACCCTGCCTCTCCTCTTCCCCACCCCCATGTCTGAGCAGGGTCGTGGGGCAGACAGAAATGCTAATGTGGAGCCTGGGGCAGTTGGCCAGAAGAGGGTCTGTGCAGGGGTGTGCTGCCCACCTGCGAGGGAGGCAACCCCAGGCTCCCCCACAGACACCTCAGTCCAGGTCCCTCCTCCACCCAGGTCTCCCCTCCCCCTGGCCCCTCTTCTGCAGGGGTATCCCCTCCTCCTGGGTCCCCCCTCCACTCAGGTATCTCTTCCTCCTGGGTCCTCCCTCCACTCAGGTCCCTCCTCCACCAGGTCTCCCCTCCTCCCGGCCCCTCTTCCACCCAGGTGTCCCCTCCACCCGGGTTCCCCTTCCGCTCAGGTCCCTCTACTGCCCAGGTCCCCTTCCATCCAAGCCCCTCCTCCCCCCAGGTTCCTCCCAGCCTATAGATGAAGTCACACTGTCTCATAAAAGCAGGTGTCAGTTAAGCAGTCTTTTATGCCCAGCTCTTATTCAGTCTATTTGTGTTTTCTGTATAAGGAAGGAGGGAGGGGAGAGAGAGAGAGAGGCCAGACTACTGGATCCCCCTCCGGGCCTCCTGCCTTTGTCCTTGGCCTGGGGATTGTCCCTGGACAAAAGCCGAGGGGCCCCAGTGGGCTCTGACGGGTGTTTGCAGCGTTGCTAGGAAACAGCTGCCCCAGGGGCCTTTGGAGGGGTGTCTCCTGCAGGGCCCAGTGCCCAGAGCCCCCAGCCCAGGTCTGGGAAAGCTTTGTGGGAGCTGACAGCCATCAGGTCTGGATTCCAGAGGGCAGCCCGAGCCCGCGGTCCCTGAGGCTGCAAAGTGCCTTCTCATGGCCTCTGTGTCCTCCCCCCCCCAAACAAGTCAGAACTGGAAGGTGACGTTTCTGAGCACCTCCTGAGCCCCCTGTGTGACACTGAGAGCTGGACACCAGGCGGAGCTCTGTGGGCCAGGAGCTCAGGACAGCACAGGCGTGGGAGGCCCAGAGCTGGGCGTGCGCTCGGACAGCTCCCAGCTCCTGCCCCTCTGAGCCGTCCTTCTCACACTTGCCCATTACAAACAAGGACCTCGGGGCCAGTGTCCTCCAGAGACGGGGGTGGGGCGGGGGACCCAATGTGGCTTTGGAGTAGGGCTGGGGCTCAGGAGGTGAGGCTGCCGTCTGCTCCCAGATATCAGGGATTATCTATCACTGGACCCCATGTGGCCCTGGAGGCCTCCAGAGCAGAGCAGGAAAAGGTGGTCCAGGCAGAGAGAGTGGGTGGGGACTGGGGTTTCAACAGGAGGAACAGCTGTGCAGGACCTCCCAAGGCCTCCAAGGGCCTGAAGGCTCGGGGTGAGGCTGCCCAGACAGACAGGAGGCAGGGCCACTCTACAAAGGGGTCAGAGAGAAGGGTCCGTGAGCCAGAGGCCACACTGCACATTTGTGGTCCGGCCTGTAGCTACTTCAGGAGGGGCTGTCTTGTTCAAGTGCCTGAGCGTCCCTGCTCTTGAAGTGATCATCAAGTGATCCTACGCCCTGTCACCCCAGGCTGCACACCTGCCCTCCTCAGCCCCTAGTCCCATCCCTGCTGGGTGTGCTCTGTTACAGTCTGTTTTCAAGTGTGCAGTTCTGGGCTTTGCTACTTAGACCCCACCTCCCAGCAGCCCTCCCTGACTGCACCTGTTCACAAGGACACATTCTCTGCCAAGCACCTGCCTGCCTTTCCTGTGTGTCCCAGTCTCTCTTTAGGGTGTACCTCTGTCCCAGTCCTTAGGGGACCCTTACACGGGCAGGGATTTTGCATGACTGAATGTCACGTTGAGTCACACATGGCTGGTGTCTGGGCTTCACCAGGTCCATATGGGGTCAGACAGCAGATTCCTGGAGTTCCTGGACTGGCTTAACGGGCTGTGTGATTTTAGACAAGTCACTTGACCTCCCTCGTCTGTATATGGGCATAACGGTGAAAGGACGGAGGGCAGGCGAGCCAACATTTTCTGAGCACCTTGTTCTGCCTGTCACATTGTCACCACAGCCCTGGGAAGAGAATGCTGAGGCGAGAGGGGCCCATCCCCAGGCGACAGTGACAGGAGGCCCCCAGGCAGTGTCTAACAAAGGCTGTGCTCGCAGCATGATCCGTCTGTCCCCATGGCTATCTTTTGGGGATGAGGAAATAGGCCTGGGAGGCACCTGGCATGAGGTCACTCTGCAGTGGACAGTGGAGGACAGGGCTCTCTGTGCACAGCAGTGGGAGGTGCTGGCCTGGACGAGCAGCTGGGGGCAGGGCTGGGGCGGGGCCAGCAGGAAGGAGGCGAGGGGTGGGCGGCCTTGGAGGCTGGCCTGGACAAGGCCCTAGGGAACATCTGGACACACTTCTGTGCCTCAGTTACCAGTTCAGGGGTTGGGGAGACACACTGAGCAGAGGTCTTCCCTGGGGGTTTGAGTAGTTTGGAGTCTGTCTTGGGGCATGAGCGGGGGTGGGGGGCTGTCCTCACAAAGCGGTCCCTGGTGTCTCGTTCCCAGGGGAGCTGTACTTCATGTCCACCGGACTGCCGAGCGCCACGGCTGCACGTGGGGTCATCTACAAAGTGATCGATCCTTCCAGGTGAGACCCTCTGACTCTGCTGTCTACCAGAACCCTGAAGGGGAGAGTCATTCATGTCCCCACTGGTCAGATAAGAAAACAGAGGCCCAGAGAGGGCGTGCCTGGCCAGGCTCACTGAGCTGGTGAGGGACGGGCCTACCTGCATTGAGTCCAGGCCTGTGCTGATGGGGGGATCAGGAGATACTGATGGGCTGGAGGCGAGACAGCGGGCCTGTGACACTCGAGCCAGGCTGGCTCTGCCGGGCCCCCTGAGTCCACCTATCCTGGGACCCCTCCTTTGTTTCCTGGGTTGTCCTTTCCGTGTCTTTCTCCTCCACCGTCCTCCCAACCCAGAGGCACGCCCCCTGTGGCTGCCCTCTGCCTGCCCTGTCCTCCCCGGTCAGTGTCCTGCCCTCCCCATCAGTGTCCTGCCCTCCCCTTCAGTGTCCTG